ATATGGCTGCTGATATGAAGCTTGCAGTAGACAAGGTCATTGTCAATGTTCAATGGCATGTCCATGGACATGGTAATATCACATCAATAGTACTATAATGTATGGATAAGGTAATATCATATCAATAAAGAAAAAACAAGTAAAAATCACAGAAAAGGGCATTTATTCTGCATACATCATCTACAAAGGAAGAGGAGGACTTCAGAGTACTGTTGGTAATACATGAGTACACTCTGCATGCTTCAAATATTTTAGAATCAAGTTTTATTTCAAGTGTCCCTTATTACCCCATTCCCAGAAAAATTTAGGAGGCTTTTAAATTGCATCTGGCACCTTACAAATAGCATATAGAATTTTTTTTAAGATGCCATACAATAGCCCTGGCAAAGGCCTTTAAAATGAGCCCAAACTCGGTTATGAAATGTTTCATGGTAAGAAGTTATTGACAAAAAATGCTCAAAACCGTCCCTTATTACCCCGTTTGATGGTATACACTAACTTTTCTGGAATTCTGTCAATGGACATTTTTCACAGATAATTTGAATTATTTATTAATAACTAGAAGATAAATGCTGTAGCAGTAGACTGATGTTTTTCAATATTAAATGCTGTTCAATATTTTGTATTTGAAACACCAACAGGTATATTAGAAGGAAATAAAATTAATGTCATCAAGTTTTTTCTAAATATAATATAAAAAATTCATCTAGTGGAAAATTCTACTGAATTCCGCTTGAACATTTCTATAAAACCATTTGTGAAAACATGCTATGCACACTTCACTTATAAAAGCTCCTGACAAATTTACATAGGTAGTGGCAAACCTGAGATTTCTCAGAATCAGCTCATTTTTAATTTCCTCATACGCTCAATATTTTGATCAATTTTCTATTTATGATAACACTGGTAGCCAAGATACTTACTAGTCTAGTAATAGAACTCAAAAACTAGAAGAAGGGCAAAAAATGCTTTCTCTGAGTCCTTTGCCACTATGTGCTTATAAATATGATTAAATAGTGATAGAATTATCAAAAATCCAAAGGCAAAGCCAGGTAACCTAAAAAGATTTTAAGTTTTATTCATTTGTATTTGAAGTGTATCCAGCAGGATTGAATTCTATTAGTAGTGATTAAAATTATATATCCATGATGATAGGATCAATCTGCTTCAGCCTGGCAACTTGCTCACTGCTCAGTTCCACAATTACACAATACAAGCCAAGTATGTAGGTATATATGTAACTGTTGTATATAGGTATGTACCTGTTGGCTGTTGTTGATATATGAACAGGTCCTGTTCTGATGTTCATATATCATCCAAGTCCAACCAGAATTCAGTGGGTGACTCACTAGGATTGGGTCCAATCTGGACAATCCACTCTCCCTAGCTTTAGCCATTTGTCCAGTTTCAATGAGGAATCATTGAGATGTAGTATGGACTATGGAATTCACATTTTATCAACTATCATTTCATGAATAATATAAGTCATGCTCAGTATAATTAATCTAAGCATTCTGCTTTCATGCTTATATTCCAAATTTCACTATTTCTTTGGCAGATGGAATGTTCTGAACAGAATATACTTGTCTGACTCAGACTGTCTGAGTCATCTCTACTCAGTCTACCAAGGCAAGATCACCAGATCATTTTTACTCCCTGATTAAATGCAAAATTGTATTTTATATCTATGCATGATAATGCTGTTGCCCAGTCAGTACCCTATACTACGAGTATTCCTCCTTTCCCCGGTATTTACCTATAGTTATAGGATATTGGATCCAATTTTGAATTAGATTGAGCAATTAGAAATGAATTCATTGTAAAAAATCCTGTATGCCATTATGTACTTGATTCAGTTTACTGGCATTTGCCTACTCCTAAGACTTATAAAGCAGACCACAGAGTTTCAAAATTTGGAGCCAGCTCAGGGTGATGGCTAATGATGTTGATACTAAGCTCACAATGTCTTCACCTGAAACCGCATCACTTAGGGCTTAGACAAACCTTTCAATGGCCTCTCATGGGTGTTTATCATCTCATGTGCTGCTTGCAGTTGGTTCCTCAGCTAAATTTTAACATTTTTATTGAGATTCCTGCCTCTTCAATTAAAACATATTTTCACAATCGTGCTGTAATCTGAAAGCAATGTAATGATTCATCAATAATTTAAATTATTGGGAAGTGAAATTCATTCAAGAGTCTGTCTTGAAGTCCTTGACTCAGTCATGCAGGATTCACAACTAAATGTAATTAATCCAACTTGTGGGGAACTAAGTTCTTCCTACAACAAAAACTCTTCCATACACTTGGGCAAGAAATCGGCTATTGAAAATGTGATGAGAAAACATAAGAAGCCTGTGCTTCAAGGCCAATCTGCTGCTCATATGAATTTTCCTGTAATGAAACTGTTGATGCTTATGCTAAAGCTACTGTACATATGATTCAAAGAGCCTTGTTAGAAAGAGTGCAAGTGCTGCCAGCACTTTTGGCTTGAAGGCAGCTTCAGGGGAACCTAAAATATCATCTCTAAAGATAATAAAAATGTTCAAAAAGGGAAGTAGGCTCATGTGTGAAAATGTTCAGGATGTAGGTAGCTCTTCTTGAGGATACCTGAGGAGGGTTACAGTATATACCAAGAAGCATGATAGATATGTTGCTGATAAGTCTTGAGAATGTTTATTGGTTGAGAACTTCTAATTTTGCAGAATGTCTAATGGCTGAGAATGTCTAATGGTGGAGGATGTCTAACGGTGGAGACTGGAGAATGTCTAATGGTTTTATAATGTCTAATGGTCGAGAATGTTAATTNCTGCATGAGACTGAGTGTTGCACACTCCCCCGCCCCACTCCCTGCATGAGACTGAGTGTTGCACACTCCCCCGCCCCACTCCCTGCATGAGACTGAGTCGGTATCCAAGAAGCTTTATCATTTGCTATGAGTATTTTTTACTTAATAAGTGAAAGGAGTTATTCAACTCTAATCAAATGGAGCTAATAGTCTCATTTTGATACGGTGTAAAATTCACATGTCGACTGTTGGGTGACTTAAAAACGTTTTTTTAATCGGCGAAGTTCAATTGACATAATTACGGCATTCTTCATAATATAAACGGTTGAGTGATATTATTTCGGTATTGTTCATACGGCAAAAATTGATGACATGCATACGGTATCCATTGTACGGCGACGGTTGGGTGACATTATTACTGTGTTCTTAAACGGTGATGTGGGTCTTGGCGGCTGTCAAGGGACAGAGACGCCTGTCCCTTGACGCCTGTCCCTTGACGCCTGTCCCTTGACGCATGTCCCTTGACGCCTGTCCCTTGACGCATGTCCCTTGACGCCTGTCCCTTGACGCCTGTCCCTTGACGCCTGTCC